TGCGATTTTGATAGCGGTTGCTTTGTAAAGAAAAGACTGTATTGCTGCCTATGCCATAGTTGCAGATAATTTTTAATAGAACCATGTTGGTTACACTTTGTAGTGTTTGGTGCTCATTTAACTATCAGAACATTTCCTACGGTTTTTACTCTATTGTGTCATATAAAAGGTCTTGCAGAAGTTTGTAGTGTCGCATTGATATTACCTAATGACGGTTACACTCACTTTGTGGTGTCTGCAGCCAGTCCAGCACGTATGGGAATTGTACTTGTGGAGCTCCAGGGGCAGCTCCCACCCTGGGCGCCATCTGGGCTGGTGCCCTCGGTGCCAGCTCTTCAGGCTCGGGCCCCGGCAGAGCGTGTCGTTCGGAAGAGAAGCGCCAGGATCCGGGTTGCAGCTACCTGCTAAGGGCTAGCAGGCCTTCCTGCAGATGGCCGGGAGCATCCCTGTTGTGAGTTTCTGCTAACAACGGCAGGAGCCTCAAAGAGAAAAGACAAAGCACCCACGATTTCACTTTTCATTTCCACACAGCTACATGTGCGTGCGAGATAAAATGTTCTCAGGGCAGCACTGTCAGGGAAGCTCGCTACACCAAGAGAGGCCTTCCTGCCAGCATCCACATTTCGTCCTGTTTGGATCGTAATGAAACAACATCTAGATAGAAGCACAAAGCCCTAGCCATAGGGTGCTAGGTTACTGAAGGCCGCCTACATGCCAGAGTTCCAGGCTGGTGAAATTTTTTCTGCCATGGGGCAATTTGGCTATTTATAACATCATTTCAGGGCCATACTGGTCCAGCATTCGATTACCTTGCCCCCAATGCGACACCTAGAATTGCTTCTCTTTGGTGAGGCGTGTGAGGTTAGCTGGTAGCTGGTATGCGAATATCGTGGTCCTTATACAGCCTGAGTACCAGACATTCATCACCCCTGCACTCCAAAAACCTCCTGCCATTGAGTTGACCCTACTCTTATCAGCCTTGTGGGACAGGATCGAACTGCCCCTCTGGTTTCCTAGACTGTAACCCTTTAAGGAGGGCAAAAACCCTCATCATTCTCCCTCGGAGTGGATGGTGGATTTGAACTGCAAACCTTGTGGCTAGCTTGCCAACACATAACCCACTATGCCACGAGGGCTCCTTACTCTGTGTTACACTCTGCTGTATTTTCTGCTGTAGCTAGTGATTTCTTTTTTTAAAAGTTTATTAGGGGCTCATACAACTGTTATCCCAATCCATACACACATCAATTGTGTAAAGCGCATTTGTACATCGTTTCTCAAAACATTTTCTCTCCATTT